CCAGACACCTCCTCGAGGTGCGCCACACAAAGTGATTTACTGGCGACCCTGTCGCTGAATGCCTCGTCGTGATAGCAGGCCCTCGTGCCACTGTGAAGCAGTTGGCCCTTATGTCACAAGGGAAAACGCGTCACCGTACAGCGTGCAAACCGTCAAATTGAAGAAACACAAAGGAAAAAAAAAAAAGGGGAAAAACAAAACAGAGAAATGCCCTCACCGCATTCCAACGCGGTCTCCACTTAAACAAAGGGTCAGTGACAAAAACACGCTGAAAAACAAATTCAAATTACTCATCACCGTCTGTCCGCAGATTTGTTCAAAAAGTTCGAGAACATAAAACAAAAACATTACTGGAAATCATTTCCTTGTTATGAGAGCGCACACACACATTTACCCAAACGGTTCACAGCACAATTATGAATTTATCCACATTTGTCAGGAGACTCTCCCACTACATCAGAAAAAAACTGCCATAACGAACACGTGCAGCAGCAAAGCACCCGCACACAAAAGAAGCCCTCCGTCCGAAAAGGCCGAAAATGCAGCGCCATCGGGAAAAAACAAAACCATACCCGTGGCACCGTGGCCAGCGGGAGTCGAGGGCGTACTGTGGGCACTGTTGTCAGCGGGAGTTGAGGGCGTACTGTGGGCACTGCTGTCAGCGGGAGTTGAGGGCGTACTGTGGGCACTGCTGTCAGCGGGAGCTGAGGGCGTACTGTGGGCACTGCTGTCAGCGGGAGTCGAGGGCGTACTGTGGGCACCGTTGTCAGCGGGAGTTGAGGGCGTACTGTGGGCACTGCTGTCAGCGGGAGTCGAGGGCGTACTGTGGGCACTGCTGTCAGCGGGAGTTGAGGGCGTACTGTGGGCACCGTTGTCAGCGGGAGTCAAGGGCGTACTGTGGGCACTGCTGTCAGCGGGAGTCAAGGGCGTACTGTGGGCACTGCTGTCAGCGGGAGTCGAGGGCGTACTGTGGGCACCGTTGTCAGCGGGAGTTGAGGGCGTACTGTGGGCACCGTTGTCAGCGGGAGTTGAGGGCGTACTGTGGGCACTGCTGTCAGCGGGAGCTGAGGGCGTACTGTGGGCACTGCTGTCAGCGGGAGTCGAGGGCGTACTGTGGGCACTGCTGTCAGCGGGAGTTGAGGGCGTACTGTGGGCACTGCTGTCAGCGGGAGCTGAGGGCGTACTGTGGGCACTGCTGTCAGCGGGAGCTGAGGGCGTACTGTGGGCACTGCTGTCAGCGGGAGTCGAGGGCGTACTGTGGGCACCGTTGTCAGCGGGAGTTGAGGGCGTACTGTGGGCACTGCTGTCAGCGGGAGCTGAGGGCGTACTGTGGGCACTGCTGTCAGCGGGAGTCGAGGGCGTACTGTGGGCACCGTTGTCAGCGGGAGTTGAGGGCGTACTGTGGGCACTGCTGTCAGCGGGAGTCGAGGGCGTACTGTGGGCACCGTTGTCAGCGGGAGTTGAGGGCGTACTGTGGGCACCGTTGTCAGCGGGAGTCAAGGGCGTACTGTGGGCACTGCTGTCAGCGGGAGCTGAGGGCGTACTGTGGGCACTGCTGTCAGCGGGAGTTGAGGGCGTAC